GTGTTATATGTTCTGATAGTGGCCCGAATGTTGGGGTGGGTGTAGTACGTCTTCTGGGGTGGGGATTGGGTTGGTGGCTGTTGGTGGTGGCTGGGGGCCGTGCTGGGCCAGCTGGTTGGCCCCTTTGCTGTGGCGGTGGCCCCCCTGGGTGTCCCCTTGCTCTGGCGGCGGTTGGGTGGGCGCTCTTGGCCGGGCCATCCTTGCTGGGGAACGGTGGCCTCTCTGGGCGACGGGCCGGCTATAGGGCTGGGGTCGAGTTTTGGGAGTCTGGGTGGCTCTGGGGGTGTGGGGTGTTGGTCCTGGTTTATGGTGGCCTTCGGGGCTCCATCAGTCCATGGTCTGGGGTTCCGTGGGCTTGGCGGTTTGCCTGGAGGGAGAGGTATTTGGACTGCTCTTCCTGGGTGGGTTTCGGGGAACGGGAGGGCTTACTGGGGCCAGCGGGGGAGCTGACTCCTTGTGGGAGCATTTTGCTCCTTCAGCTTATTCTCCCCATCCTTCACTGCACACCTCCATCCTCTTCACTTTCAACTTCACCCATGTAGGGTTTTTTTGGGGGGGCACAGTTGTGTTATAAGAGCAACAATATTACATTTCTATTTGCCATAACCACCTGGGCCCCAAATTTTATTGTACATCTTCGACATTCACTTGTAACATTTTCATGAAATTCACATATATGAACTTATGGTGGGCACTCATGGCTATAGGTGGCCGGATGGCACCACTCTCGCCTCCTGTGCCCACCCCCTAAAGGTTTGCATATAGACACTTAGGGTTTTGGGTTAGAGTAGTAGTGGAGGGGAAACTGGCACCACGCCGGCCTCTGCCTCTTCTTCTTTCCCTTTTTTAATTGCTCTATAGAACAACACGCACCAACAGTACATCTGGGGGTGGGGGTGGGGGTGTCAGGGTCTTTATTCCCATCCCATTCCCCGACTGCCATTTGGGGAGGGGGTTCTGAAGAAGGGCGGGCGGCCGGGTGCGGTCCTGGGCTGTGCTCGGGCTTGGATGGTTGCCGGGGGCGGGGCTGGCTCTCCGTCCTCCCTGGTGCTGCTTGGTCTCCTGAGGTGTGGCTCTTGGTGGCCCCCTGGCCGGGGTGGCTGCTGGGTTCCGGGGGATGGACGGCTGGGGGGGGGCGCACTTGGTCGCTGGCGGTGTGGTGGGGTGGTCATGGGTGTGGCTTCTCTGCGGCGGGGGGCTGGCCGGGCGTCCTGGTGCGGCCCGGGCCGGGCCTTGGCTATCTGCTTCTCTTTACCTCAGAATGATTAGGTCTACCTCCTGGGTTCAGGTGTGTGCTGCCTCCAATAGGGGGTGGGTACATGTCCTGGACCTGGGGTTATAGAGTGTGTATCGGGAGTTTGAGTGGAATGTGACGTCCTTGTCTGTCTTTGACTGAGTGGGGGTGAGGATGAGGGTGGGATGGTGTAATTGTGTATGTTTGGATATTTGTCAGGCTGCGGTCTGGGCTGCCCCTCCTGCTGGTTTATCTGGGGGCCCGCTGCTACTCGGCCCCCCGGTGGGGTG